GAAAACAACAGAACAAGGGGGATGGGCAAAGGGTACAAAAATCTAGTTATTAGATGAGTAAATTCTAGGGGTTTGAGATCCAGTATGGAGGTTATAATAAACAGCACTGTATTATAGTCTTGAAAGCTGCTAAAATAATAGATCTTAAAAGTTTTCAGCACAAAAAGCAAATGGTAATTAGGTGAAGTGATGGAAATATCAAATCTACACATCATTTTACACCTTAAATCTATACAATGTATAATGTCAATTAGGTCATGGGGTAGGGATTGTAAGAAAAATAATAGTCCAGACACCATGACTTAGTACCTTATGGGTGAGAATACCATCTCACATTTCTGTCCTCTTCACCCAACTTCAATTGCCACCGCAGGAAATACACACATTCTTTCCTCCTTAAGAGAAGCCAGTTCTGTAGCCTTTTTTTTTTTACATTTTCATAGGACAGGTTTATTAAGAAAGGGGAAAGGAAAAAAGAAATCTGTGTAGACATCGATGTGCACACTTGGAATCAGAGCTAAAAAATTGAATCTTAAAAAAAATTATCACTGCCTGAGTGAGATTAAGACTCACATAACCCAATTCATCCATCTGGAAGTATACAATTCAATATTTCTAGTGTAGTCAGGGAATTGTGCAACCATTACCACAGCCAATTTAGAATGATTCATCATTACCAAAATTCTGTACTTCTCCCCAATCTGCCTTTCCCCCAATTTGTCTATTCTGGACATTTTATGCAATCACACAGTATGTGGTCTTTTTGACTGCCCTATTTTCAAGAATCACCCATGTTGTGGCATGTACTTCATTCCTTTCTTGGCTGAACAATATTCCACTGTGTATCTGTTTATCGGTTGATGGATATTTGAGTTGACACTTTTAGATTATTATGAATAATGCTTCCATCTGTAAGCACTCATGGACAAGTTTTTGTGTGGATGTGTTTTCATTTCTCTTGGGTCATAACTGGGATGCCTGAATCATATGGCAATTTTATGTTTAACTTTTTGAGGAATTTCTACACTGTTTTCCAAAGTGGCTGCCTCACTTTACACGAGCAATGTGTGAGAGTTCTGATTTTTCCACATCTTTGTCAACTTACTCTTCTTGATTATAGACATCCTATCTCATTGTAGTTTTGAGTTGCATTTCACTGATGGTTAATGATGCTGAGCATCTCTTCATGTGCATATTAGCAGCTATTTATCTTCTTTGGAGAAATGTCTATTCAGATCTTCCATCTATTTCAAAAATTGTTTTGTCTTCTATTACTGAGCTCATATATATATATACATATATGTATATATATATGTATTCTGTCATCATCTTTTGAGCTCATATATATGTATACACACTCACACATATATTCTGTCATCATCTTTTGGTACTTTCTCAATAGTATTCTTTGAAGCACAAAACTTTTAAATAAATTTTATTAAGTTGAACATACCTATTTTTTCTTTTGCTGCTTATGCTTTTACTGTAATTACTTAAGAAACCCTTGCCTAATCTAATTCAAGGTCAAAATTTTGCAGTCTTTTTCTTAGAGACAGCCATGGGCTGGCTGTATCCAGTGAATGTTTTCACCTTGGCCTTGCTTCATAGGCACAGGTCCCGTAACCCCAGGCAGACCACATCTGACAGTCCTCTTTTCCTGCAAAGACTAGTTGCGCTGTTGCTGCTCACCCTACTCACGCCACATACTGCTCAGATCTTAGGGGCAATCTGAAGAATCATGTGGTCCTTTAGGATAAATATTCAGCCATTCTGTTACTGTGACTTTTGTAGCACAGCATAGCAGCTATGCACATTTCCTCCCCATCTCATGCAATTCTTACATTGACTCCCCCGCTCTGCAAGGAGCAACTCTAACAAAGATAGAGACTGGGCTCAGCAAGCCACCACTCTTTTACCACATCAAGTTATAATCCTGATCAAGTTATTATAAAACCCAAGAGGACACTCTACCACCATTTGGGTACCTGTTCACCCCTTTCTATTCTCATTCGATGGTTATATGCCAATGACTAACATGGTAGACACTGACAACACAGGAGTATATGGTATTTGTTCTTGCATTCTTAGGCGTAAGTCCGGTGGGGTATTCAAACATATCACACAAGTGTGACTCCAAGGAGGGGTGAGAGAAATGACACCGGGGCGTATCTAGGGGAAAGTAGATAAGGAAAGACTATTTTCTCTTCCCGCAGAGATGTATCTTTTTTCCTTCTATGATTCAAAGCTCTGTTATCTACTCCCTCTTCCCCCATGCCCACCAATAAGTACTTTGAGATCTGTACTCACAGCCATATGCCCAAGCAGGTGCTTACTCAACTTAGTAAGTAGTGCTTTTCCTGGAACATTAATATGAACATGTAGGGCTGACTTCCTTACTCAGCATTTCTATGCTTCCAGTAAAGCACTCTGTGAAACAAACAAAAAGTACAAACCTTAGTTTCAACAGCTCCTTCCCCGGCTACCACTCCCACCCGCCATTATTCTAGTAGTAGTTTCCTAAAGAGCCACTGCCATCTGGTGGACAAAGATGTCCTCACACCTGCATGTAGACCAAAGACGGGACCTTCCTATTTATGTCCCACCAATTATTCCAGGGCACTGGGCATCTTAAAAGGCTGTATTTTTCCTATGAAAACAGGACCAGAACATTATAGGTGCAGTAAGTATTGTTTGGGCAAAGCACTGTGTTCAGGCAGTAATGTTTGTGTCACAAGTACATACTATATTATAGTAATATTGGATGTAAATGTACCTAGTACCTTTTTTTTTTTAATGCATATAAGAGCTGGAGAGTAGGCTAAAGGTGTGGTGGGTGAGAGGATTCAGAGACAGAATGGGGAGTAGGACAGGCTGAAATACTGAAATACATTGCTGAGAAAAGCAGTAGGCAAGAGAGGCGAGGTCTGCAGTGCCACGTGGGTTAGCAACCTGGTAGGATAGCAAACTCATGTCTCAGGGGCTGCTGGTAGCTTGATAGAGCTGATTTTAACTCCTGCACCATGAGGGAGGCCCCTGCCTTGGTTTTAAAGGGAAATATTACTTGCTTAGTAGTTTGAAAATGCATTGTACTGGAGGAAAAAGTCAACACACAGCAACTGCTAAATTACAGGTGAAACCACATAGAAGTCAAACTATGGAGACTGAGGGAGTTAAGTTTCTTGCTCCCCTTCCCCAGTTCAGTTCTGTGAAAACACTTGGGAACCAGCTATATAGGCCATGATATTCCCTCACATTAACTCCCAACCAAAACAAGGGGAAAAACCCTGCATTTGCCATCACCCCACATGTGCATACACAGCTAAACCATCCAGTAATCCTTCCCGGATTTAAAATGGAATGGAATGTACTAGAAATTGCTGTTCCTATAGCCAACCACCTTCTTTACACCGTCCTTTTCCTCTAACTGGTCTTAAATTATTTCCCCACATTTTGCTGTTAAGGTTAAAACTAATCTACAGCTTTTGTATGCATTCCCAACTAGCCCAAAAGAAACTAATTTAAAAAAAAAATTACCTGAATCACTTGAAATCTCAAATCCCCAGTGGCTTTACTTCTACTTGCAAAAGACAATCTGCAAGAGTTAATGTCCAAAGTACTGAAACAAAAACTATGTGGACAGTGAACTCAAAAGGGGGAGTGGTACTACGACCAGAATATTCTTTTCATGTATGTTGCAATTATAAACCCCCTTTAAGATTCCTCGGGTGCACAAGGGTTAAAGTCAAGGCTATAAAGCATGAGTTCAATCCCCAGCCACAGCTAAAAACCAGACCTGGGTTTTTCACTGCTCCCCTCAGCAGTGTATTTCAGTAGACAGCCTATTATTCCTCTCCCCACTATCTCTTATTCTCCACACTAGTGGCCCACATCCCAGTTCTTGCATGGATAAATCTTTAAACAAAATATCCCCTCTATTACCCTGAAAAATTGAGCTGGTACTTCATTGTACTGACAAAGGAGCAAAATGCACAAGCTTTTTAACTTACGTTAACTTTTAACTTCCTCAATAGTTCACTACTTAACCTAATTTAGGTTGTAGTTGAAGTGATTTAGTTTTCACCAACAGTTTTGATCCCGATATTTCTAAAAGGTCAATTTCAGGGATAGATTAATGCCTAGTTTTTTGAACTGCAGTAGCAAAAACACCTAGTTTACTCCAGCTTAACCGGTTTATAACCAGCTTATCAACTTTTACAATCAAATTGAAGCCCACACTTATCACTGGAAATGTAGACATGTAAAACACTAACTTAAGCCTTTAAGTCATGTATTATTCCAGTTGAGTGATATTTAATGACAGCCTGCTCCTAACTGCTAGGTAGCACTGAAATCTAGTAAGCCAATGCTAGCTGGGTCTCCCAGGAGCCAACTAGTTCCACATAGCTAGCAAGCTGACTCAGCAAGTGTACAACCTTAGGCTGCTACATGGACTCATGGCATTAACAACCAGGGGGCAGGTTAGCACAGGACCAAGGATCAACTATACTGCCACTTTAAACCCAGTCCCTGGTTTCACAATTGAGAATGGAGGTCCCTGGGAAGTGGAACTCTTGTGTCATGTATCCCAACTATTTGCTACTAAAAACATACTTCTGCATTTTGGGTTAACACTATGTGATCACCTCAGTGCCTGTGTTTGTAGCTCATTAAGCAGGTCCACCGCAAGAGCCTACCAGCCTCCACACCTTCAACTCCATTTCATCATGATTATTGCAACTCTCTGCCCTCTTTGGACTTTTAACTCCTTTCCCAACTTCCCCATCCCAAGGTCAACACTTAAAAGTGCTTACTATCACCAATTCAAGAAGGTATGTAAAGGAACCTAACATGTAAGTTCTGCACTCCCACTAAGTTGATCTCATGGTAATATAAACCATTAGCAAGCTACTTAAAAATTAATTACAAACACCCAGTCTATCTACCCCCAGAAAACATGCTCAACTTATTGCTGGTTTGAAACATGGAGTCAGATAACCATGTGGTGCCAATTTTAAATATTTTATTTAAGACATTGCATTTTCCACTTAGAACAACAGTGCTTATAAAGTGCAATGTTATTTTTGCTTCCTTTCCCTGTGCACAGTTCCATATTCAAGTATCAAGAATGCCCAGTTATTACTATACAGCAGCTCAACTTTTTACTGCCATGGAATTTGCTACAAATTTGGGTCCTTCAACATTTTAGGTGGAACAATGCTAAATTCTAGGTCGTTAGTTTAATCAACTTCTTCAATGGTGGGCCCAGAGGAGGCACCACCAGATGGAGGTGCTCCACCACCAGGGAAGCCCCCAGGCATCCCTCCTGGCATGCCACCTGCACTCTGGTACAGCTTAGTAATGATTGGGTTGCAGACTTTCTCCAGCTCTTTCTGTTGATGTTCAAATTCTTCCTTTTCTGCAGTCTGTGAATAGAAAGACATACTTTTGCTTACCACAAAGTGCAAATAAATGCAAACACAAAAACACCCAGTCTCCAACATCAAACCCATGTAGTCGAGTCACTCAGACATCCAAGGAAGGTATTTGCCAACACTTTGGATTCTGGTGGAAACCGCGAATGTTTGGACCATTCATCATCATTGTGACCCTGATAAAACTGTTCTTGGTTTCTGCTTAAGTCCTGCACCCAAACCACCCCCTTAGTTTTACTATAATTGAATACCTGGTTCTTATCCAGCCAGTTGATAATTTCGTTGCACTTGTCAAGAATCTTCTGTTTGTCTTCATCATTGATCTTGCCTTGAAGTTTCTCATCTTCAACAGTTGCTTTCATGTTGAAAGCATAAGATTCAAGGGAGTTCTTTGAGGATACCTTGTCCCGCTGCTTCTCATCTTCAGCTTTGTACTTCTCAGCCTCCTGGACCATCCTTTCAATGTCTTCCTTGCTCAAACGGCCTGTTAAGGGTCACAATTTTAAGCATACATCTAAACCAAGTACATTGGACACTGTTCATAAACCCAACCAGCAACACCAGCAACCAGGGCTGACCCTTCCCCCAAACACCCTTGTATTTAAAAAAGTGTTTTAAATTAGAACCCACAGATAAATGTACCTTTCAAAAACAGGCCACATACCTTTGTCATTTGTGATGGTGATCTTGTTCTCTTTTCCTGTGCTCTTATCCACAGCAGAAACATTGAGAATGCCATTGGCATCAATATCAAAAGTGACCTCAATCTGAGGAACGCCACGGGGCGCAGGAGGTATGCCAGTCAGTTCAAACTTGCCAAGCAAGTTGTTATCCTTGGTCATGGCACGCTCACCTTCATAAACCTGAGTAAGAAAAAACTCTTTACACAGGGCTTTATACTAGTGTTAGACTAATTCCAACTCAACTTATGACTCAATCGCTCAGACATCCAAGGAAGGAATTGGCCAACACTGCACTTCTGGTGGAAACTACGAATGGTTGTGGAATCCATCATCATAGCGAACATGTCTTTTGGAATCTGTGATCTCTTAAATGAGCCAAGAGTATGGAAACATACCTGAATGAGCACACCAGGCTGGTTGTCAGAGTAAGTAGTGAAAGTCTGTGTCTGCTTGGTAGGAATGGTAGTATTGCGCTTGATGAGTACAGTCATGACACCACCAGCAGTTTCAATACCAAGGGAAAGAGGAGTAACATCCAAGAGCAACAAATCTTGAACATTTTCAGATTTGTCTCCAGAGAGGATGGCTGCCTGGACAGCTGCATTAGAAAAAGTAGTACATTAATTACAGGGTAAAAGAACAGCTTATCTTTTAAGTAAATCTTAAATCGCTCAGACATCCAAGGAAGTTAAGACCATCACAAGCTAAAAAGCTTTTGGTGGAAACTACGAATGTTTAGTAATTACTCATCACAGCGTTCAGTTAACTTGGGCCTCTCCCAGAGGCTGTTTTTAACTAAGAGATGGTGAGATTGTTACCTGCACCATAAGCAACAGCTTCATCAGGATTGATGCTCTTATTCAATTCCTTTCCATTGAAGAAATCCTGTAGGAGTTTCTGAATTTTGGGGATACGGGTAGAGCCGCCCACCAGGACAATATCATGGATCTGGGACTTGTCTAGCTTGGCATCACGAAGAGCTTTCTCAACTGGGTCCAAGGTACCACGAAACAAGTCAGCATTCAATTCTTCAAATCGAGCACGGGTAATGGAGGTATAGAAGTCGATTCCTTCATAGAGTGAATCAATTTCAATACTGGCCTGGGTGCTGGAAGAGAGCGTACGCTTAGCACGCTCACAAGCAGTACGGAGGCGACGGACAGCCCTCTTGTTCTCACTGATGTCCTTCTTATGCTTACGCTTGAACTCAGCAATAAAATGGTTGACCATTCGGTTGTCAAAGTCTTCTCCACCTAAGTGGGTGTCTCCAGCTGTAGATTTGACCTCAAAGATCCCATCTTCAATAGTGAGGATTGACACATCAAAAGTGCCACCTCCTAGGTCAAAGATCAACACATTTCTCTCAGCGCCAACCTGTCATTAAAGCATGAATTGCTCGTTATCTGAGTATCTGAGGCATTTGACTTATGAAAATGGTTTCATAGCACAACTGGTACAAACCTTTTTGTCTAAGCCATACGCGATAGCAGCAGCAGTTGGCTCATTAATGATTCTTAGTACATTGAGACCAGCAATGGTCCCAGCATCTTTGGTGGCCTGACGCTGAGAGTCATTAAAATAAGCAGGTACTGTGACCACTGCATTGGTAACAGTCTAGAATAAGAAAAAGCACAAGAAACTAATTAATTATAATTCCAATTGTATCAGCTAATGCAGCACAATTTAACATAACAATTATCACCATGAATCATGGCCTACATTTATTTCGGTGCCTAATTCCAGAAATTTCAACCCTGATGAAAATAAGATCATCCAATTTGGTAGCTGTAAGCTATACTTTGTATATTCTCATGAGTCAAAACCTTCTCCCTGTGAAATTGGATTCTACTACTTACTTTCCCAAGGTATGCCTCTGCAATTTCCTTCATCTTTGTCAGAACCATAGATGACACCTCTTCTGGATAAAAACTTTTTGTCTCTCCTTTATATTCTACTTGGACTTTGGGCCTGCCTGCATCATTCACCACCATGAAAGGCCAATGCTTCATATCAGACTGGACAACAGCATCGTCAAATCTACGACCAATCAGGCGTTTGGCATCTGTAAAACAAAAACAGTTACTTCCAACACCCATCTTTCCAATAAAAACCAGTCTCCTGTTTCCAAGACCCCACATCCTTTCAACCAAACCTCATAGTGAGCTCAATTTAATGTCTTGCAAAATTTCATCCCAAAATACCCGGAGTTTATTTCCAATTTAGTTCTAAGACAAATCCGAGTCACCTCTATTGGACTGCTAAATGATTTTACCTATTTCCCGTGGGCCTTTGTTGGCCACTTCACAAACCACATGCTTTTGGCCTAGTTACTCATGCCTTAATTTTATATAAAACTAGAGAGCTTACCAAAAACCGTGTTGGTGGGGTTCATTGCAACTTGATTCTTTGCTGCATCACCAATCAATCGTTCAGTATCAGTGAATGCGACATAGCTCGGGGTGGTGCGGTTTCCCTGATCATTGGCAATTATTTCCACTTTCCCGTGTTGGAAAACACCCACACAGGAGTAGGTGGTGCCAAGATCAATGCCGACGGCAGGTCCCTTAGACATGGTTGCTAAGAAAGAAAAAAGCAGTTTACAAGCAGTTTATACTAGTTACCGCCCTCAAAAACTAAACAAGGATTTGCTATATCGCGTGGCACCATTGACTTAAAAAAATCACCCTGGAGTCCGAATCCTGTCCTTGCCGGAGTTAATCACGCAGGAGGATCACGGCAAGTAATTCCGCAGTTTTAGTTGGTTGCCGTGCCAACCGCAGCGGGGCCGCCCGTGAAGGCGGCTTCAGGGGCCTGCGACATTGCTGAGCACGTGGCCTCAGCTCACAACCGAGTTAGCACCCCCAATTCCCTACACTTCTTCCCGGGGACTAACATGGCCCGCCTAAAACGTGCGCGGAAGCCCCTCCCCCCCAAGCTACTGCTACTTCCTTGTCTCAGGACTTAAGGCTGGCCAGGATCGTCAGCCAAGAAACGCTGGCTCGCTTCCCGAACCCCGGGAAGGCGGATGCGGCGCCCTTTCCCCTGTTCCCGCGCGGGCGCGGCGGACTTCCAGGCGGCCATCGGGCCCCGCACGCCTCACGGCTGGTTGCGATCGCAGTCCGGGGCCGCCACCTCCCACACGCTCCCAAACACCCTCAAGCCGGACCCCGAGCTCGCCGCACGCGGACACACGGTTCAGCCTGAAAGCAATGAACGTCCGAAAACCCTCTAAGCCGGGACTAGACAGCGCATTTCTCACGTTAACTACCACAAAGTATTACTAAAAGCTTGAGAGGCCTTACCTATCGTGTAGGCCCGGCTCAGCAGGCGATCAGAACAGAAGCTGAGCAGTTGCCGCCGCGTTCAATGAGACCGGTTTCCGCCCGCCACCCTGTCTCTTATACCCTGCCTCAGAACCTTCCAGAAGGGGCCCGCCCCTGACACTGCCCATCATAGTACCTCGACCAATGGGCGCGCGCCTCCTTCTACAAAACCCAATGACTAACTCGGTTCTAGCTTTTAGCCTCGCCCCCTCCCGCCCTCCGTCTCACCCCGCATCGCGATGACGCACTCACCGCAGCGTTCTGGAACTTTCATTCCCGCCCCCGCTCTCCGAACGGCCCCGGGGAAAGAGAGGGTGGGGCTGATGGAGCCCGCGCGCGGGAGTCCTCAGTCACCCCAGGCGCGGGGGGCGGGGGGGGAAAGCGAGCGCGCGTTTCTGCGCCTGCGCCCCAAGAAGGCGCGGGTGGGAGGAGACGGAAAGCGGTGGGGAAAGCAGGGCGGGCTAACGTGCAGCCAGCCAATGACAGCCGCCCTCGCCACGACCTCGTTGTGCTCGGAACTAGTGGAAGAAGAGCGCAGGGCCTGGAGGGAGGGGTCTGCATGGTAGTCCGAGAGAGAAGACGGAAGTGGGGCGAGGACAAAATGGCCGCGAAGGTTGTTGCGCCCCTCCCCCACCGGGTCCTCAGTCAGCGTTGCACCCCCCTCACCCCGCCAGCTTTGTAGACGGTCTTTCAGATTCTCCCAGATTCCGCATTATCCACATTTCGTTGCCAGCGTGGGTTAGGGCTGCCCAAGACGCTGGAGCGAAGGTGCCGACCCTAACGCGCATAACTTGCCCAGAATCCCTCCACCCCAATCCCAGATCGGGCGTTAGCGGGAGCCGCCCTTTAGCCGGGGTCCCGTGGGGGGGGCCCTCCAAATGCTCAGTTAACCGTAGCAGCTGGCCACCCTATATGCAGTGGTTGGAGGACCCTGACTTTGCTGCCCTAGCGCCCGATCTGGTTTCTGGAGCCTCAACGGAAATTAAAAAAAAAAAAAAAAAGGCCAAAGTCGCTGCAGGGAGTCCATGCTCGCCCGCTACTCCACCTCCCGCCCCAGAAGAGAGTCGGCAGCGCCCTGCCCCTCCTCCACCCGGCCTTGCCCCATGCTTCTCCGTTCTTTGGAAGGGAAAAGTCCCCAGCTTTTTCGTGTAGGGGAACAGGAGGAACCCGGGTTCTAGTATCTGTGCCCTTGATTTTGGTTTCCTGAGCCCTTTTTTTTTTTTTTTAAACTGGTGCCGTTTATCTGTCCTGCTTTGACTTTTATCCGAAGCCGAACAAGAGACCATGCGGAGACGCCTTGAAAATACGAGTGACAGTAGTGCCTAGAATTTTAAACTGTTTTGCCTGCTGGCCTGCTTTTACGGTCTTGTCTTACTAAGAGCCTTTCTTAGTGCCTTGAATGCTTTCCAGTGTGTTTTTCAAAACACAGGGCAGCTAATATTGCTATTTAGTGAATAAGTGCAGAAAAGTGCAAGAAATAATTTTTTAAGACTACTTAACAGTACTTTTAGTACCATGGCTGGAATTAGAAAGGTCTCCAGGTAGTGCGAAAAAGGGTGTCGGAAGAATGAGGACACCTTGTCCTTGTCAAAGCCAGGAAGGCCTAGAGGCCGATTCAGACATAGGAAAAAAGGACCGTCCTTCTATATTTGCTTTTTAGAAGGAAATAGTGGCTTAAGTCCATGAAAATAGATGCTTAAATTCTTCCCACTTCCCAAAAAATTATTTTTTGCAAGTACAGAATTGCTTCATTTGTTACCTCACTTAATCCTTAAAATTCCCTGAGATTTCTGTTATTCCTCCCTGTGTTAGGAAAATGAGGTGCAGAGATATTATTTATGGGAAGATAAAAAACTGACTGAGCTAGATTTTACCTTGCTTTTTTGGTTCCAGATTTGTAGACATCTTTTTTAGTTACATTCTGTAATATATAGCCATTTTTTTTCTAGAAACACGTGTAACTTCGACTGCAGAAAGAGGAAGAGAAGAGGTGGGAGGCTCTTTTTCAGATTTCTTTTGTATGTTCAGCCCTCCTTTCTCAAAATTTCAAGTAGATGGGCACTGCAGTCTTTGTAACTTCTGAACTACCTATTTACAAGATTTTAACCACTGAGCTAATGGAAAATAGAACTGGGCCCCAAATCCTTTCATTCTGAGCACTCCACTAATTGCAGTGATGAAAGATGTTTCACATCTGTAAATCACACCATCGTGCAGTATGCCTTAAACAATGATATATGTCAGTTGCTTCTCAAATTTGGGTGAGGAGGGGCAGATACCCACTTCTGTTCACTCCAAATAGGACTTGAACTTTGTTCTTATCAAAAACAGTGAATCAGTGTATGTGTATGTGTCGTAGAATATTTTTGATAAATGTGCTGTTTACACCTCCCAGTGCATAGGGTTTCAGACACATTCAGGATCTTAAAGTTTGGAATTCTGGGACTGCAGCAAAGTAATATGAGACCTAGGGTTTCCTACTGGGTAATAAGGTCATGGTTAGCATTTTTGAGTTCCTGTCACATGTCACAGCCGGTTTGAAAAACTTCGCATGAATTACCTCGTTGAATTCCACGAACTGTATTGCAAATTTAGTTGAATCCCTTTGTAAGTCTCTGTTAGCACTTCACCTTGGCATAAAATAGTTCTTGCTACATATTTATTTTGATAAAGTTCTTAAGGGCAGAAATTCTATCATCAGTTGGTATCTCTAAAACTGTTTAGCACCTTGCTTTGTGAGGAAAAAGCACTGGGTACATGTGTGGCTGAAATCAATAAGTAATAGATCACATTCAGTCTGTCTTCTGTTGTTAGCAGTAAGCTAATAAACAGATTTCCAGAGCAGGTTGGATGAGCTTCAGCCTTTCCTACAGTATCACCTTTACTTATTTATTTTTTGATTGCTGATACAGATGCATTGTAATAAATATTTGGTTTTGTCATCAAGTACAGTCCCAATAACAAGGCAACTTAAAATTAAAATATTAAACAGTTTACCACTAGAAATAAAGCAAAATTATGTCTTTTTTGCAACAGCAATTCTGAAGTTGTCTCTATACAGTGTAACAACAAAAGCATCAACTTCTTTATTTTACAAATGTTAAGTTTGGTTTACATATTTTATTGTAATGGTAATTTACTAAACATCCAAATCATTCCATCTTTATTTTCTTCCTATAAACACTTTTTCTTACACCATTTAGTTAGGTTTTCCTTTTTGTTTGTTTCATATTAAAGAATCAAATTTATCTGACTTGGAAAGTTAATAGAATATGGTTTGAAACCAATCTGTCGTGGCTCAAATATTACCTTCAGCCCAGAGGCCTGTCACATCTGAACCCAAAAGCCTGACTAAGGAGAACCTTTCTTAAGACTTTGATACCTTTTCTCTCAGAATCTTCAATTCCTTAGAATTTCTCAGACCTGAATTAGTAATCTGTTCTGTGATTTTTTTTTGTTAGATATCCAGTGTGAACAGATTTCCAAAATAATCAGGATATTCAACTGAGAGTCTTCTAGTAACTAAAACGTTTAAATGATAATCTAACCTTTTCATGCAATGGGGACTGATTTCTTGCTTACAAAGGTGTGAGGCAGGAAATCAAAGGTTCAAAGGTATAATACAAAGATAAGAGCAAATTGCTCCTGAGGGTACAGCTGCAGCCTTCATAGTGTACTTGTCTGGCTCAGGTACTTTCGGAATGAAAAGTCTCCAAATTACATAGCAGAAGTAATGTTACCTAGATACCACAATAACAGAAGAATAAAAAGCAAAGAAGGCGTTTTATCTTACATGAGGCAGTGTTAGTATAAGAAGCATTCCAAATATGCAAACCTTCTTAACCTAATAGCAGATACCCTTTACTTCCTTAATGTCTCTTAATTCCTACTTCTTTTTTTTTTTCTTAATAAGGAGGAAAAATTAGGAGTAAAACTTTCACCCAAGGATAAACTGCTGTTTCTCAAAGGGCTTCAAGAGGATATGCATTGGCACCATGTAGGGCACTCTTGCAAGAGTTACCTGGAGAACTGAAAGAGGAGAAATGGGGCAAAATCCCAAGTTTTTCTCCTTAAGGATCTGATTCCCATTTTAGAAACAAAGCTTCCGTCCTTACATTTAACATTACTTTTTCTTCCTGCTCCCCTTTTAATATCAAGATATGTTTTGCTCTGCCAACAGAGACATGACATTTGCACTCATATCCTTGAAGGGCTTTCAGGTTTAGTATTCTTCCTATCTGATGAATTTGACTGGCGGGTTAGTCAGAACTGTTGGAAGGTGCTGCTTTCTTCTTATTTCTCAGACACCTTCCTTCTCCTGTAAATCAGCTCTTCTGATAACTACCTTGGTAAATCATTTCTGCTAATTCTTTTCAAGATCCTGACAAATTAACAGACACTAAGTAAGTCCTCTGTGCTACTCACAAGTTTTCCTCCCCCAAATGTTAACTCCCACTCCTTCCAGTCTGGAAGGCGACTTCCTGAGAAGTTAAGTTAGCAAAATGCTGAATTTTATTCTTTCTCAGCCTTTCAAAAGGTAATTATGACATACTCCCAATACCACTAGGAAACATTAGCAGTCCCTGATCTTTTGGGTAATTTAAGGCCTAGAATTATTGAAAAGCTACAGGTTCACATTCTCCTCCTCAAATGAAAGAAACAGAGGAAGCCCCAATTCTGGTGCATTACTAAACTTTCTTATACCACTTCTTGACATATTAAGACTATCCAATCTCCCTCCCTAGTTTACTCAGTCTTGAAATTTGGATTTCAAATTCTCAGAAGAAAAAAGAATGTAAGTCAGAAGACCTTTCAGCATCCTTAAGAGGTTTTTTCCTCTAGATTTCTTTCTAAGGACATTGTTAAATGACACATAACACATATTTTTTGCTCCAGAGATATCCAGCAGGGAAGTCCTTAGAGATATGTGATTTGAGGGAAAAATCCACAATTATTCCAGTATACATTTCTCATATCTGTCAGTGACCCTCTGAACATCATTCAGATGGAAAGTTTTTCATGGTCCCTTGTCACCCATTCTGGATTCCCTTTTTTACTTCTACAGTTTACTAGAACTAGAAAGATTAGTAGTGGATGGAGTGGAAGAAGCTCAATCATTCATCTCCCACAGTTTCAGTTCCTCACGAAATTAATATCCAAACCTTATGGCAAATGAAGTCAAGTCAGAATAAAAGAGACACGTTGCCTTTTTTCAGTTTCTCAGGAGAGTAAGCCCAGGACATGATGCAGATAGGTATAATATAAGGCTGTGGGTTCTCTTTGAATAATCACAATAATCCAGTAGGCTTGCAGAAATGCATAGAAAATTTGTGAACAACACCTCATTTCTTCTTGCTGAGGGTGAAGTGAAGTATTCATACAAAACATCTCAAGTGAGAAGTTTTAACTGTGGTCACTACCCCTTTCCCCAGCCTTTCTCACTACAGGTCCTGGTCAACAAATACACAGATTTGGCCCCCATGTCTCCCCATTCTGGTCTAAAGGCACAATGAGATGCCTTTTTGAAGACAATTAGTTTATATCCCTTCTCTTGTTTGGTGTCATTTAGGAAAGTGTACATCTCAATCTGTTCCATGCAATGCTTGCAGCTACTTAAATGACCTCTCTTCTGGTTCAAGGGGGTTATGTGGCTGGTGACTGAGCTTCAATGACTGGAAGAGTCTGAAGATCCTGACTCCTAGGAAAGCATGGGAGTCCAGTCCACTCTAATTCAGACAGTTTGGAAGGCTCTGCTCTGGCTGGGGATCGTGCTGCACGTAGGTTCAGCTTTGGTCAGGGTAGCATGGTGGACTCTCTTTGGTTCAGAACCTCTCACCTCTGGCCCCACTATGCTATACGCATGGGTAGCCAGCCCCGGCTGGGGTGCTGCTTCCGTCGACAGTGTTCGTTGGCTACGTGAGGCACTGTTTGCTGTGGATCGAGTGGAGGAAGAACCAGAGCGTGAGCTCCGAGAGCCTGAGGAAGAAGAGCTAGGTTTCACGAGGCGGGCTTTTGGGGCTTCAGCATCTTCTCTGAGGAGAAAAAAAACAAAGAAATTTTAATACTGGCAGGACTGGGATAGTTTCTACTGTGGTTGACTCCTTCTGAGGTTTCTCAATAAATCCCTCCAACTGTAAACTCAATACCACTGGGAAGACAGCCAATTGGGAAAATAGCAATTTCCCCATTTCCTGAGCCTTAATGCTTTGCTTAGACAAATTTATATTTTATTAGCCCAGAGGTCAGCCCTATTACTCTGAAAAGATAAGCATTGCCTTGTTAAGGTGTTCTACATAGAGCCTCCCTGGTGGCATGACGGGTTAAGTCTCAACACTATGAAGCTTTCAGCAGCCACTGCAGCATGAGTTTGATCCTGGCCAGAGAGCTGACCCACATGGCACAGCAGACCTCTCCAGTTTACCCCGCTGCTCCCCTCTGCAGTATATTTCAATCTATCCACCTGTTTTGTTCCCTACTCTGTCTGTCTCTGGTGAATTCTCTCACCCCACTCTGCCAACCTCTCGTCTATTCTCCAGCTCTTGTATGCATAAATAAATAAAAATAAATCTTTTTTAAAAAGTGGTCTAGACCGCTATCTCCTATTTTGGGATTTGTCTGAGTAAAATCTCTCATTGCTATAGACTATGCTCACTCCTTGTTTTATTAACATGTGTTTTACAGGAAGGAAGTGAATCACAAACAATGATTCTGAAGTAAATCAAAAAACTAATGTAAAGTTGAGTCTCTGTTGAGGATGGTTTCATAATAAAGTTAAATCAAACGTGTCTCTAGGCTGGGTCTCCTTACCTGCCAACATAATCTTTTTAAAAAATTCATGTTTAAGAGGAACAGGAACATTTTGTTGGCTGGTTGTTAATGGAACTGGTCCTAGAAAGGAAGTCTACTAGATGAGAGGAATTTGAAGGGTTGTTTACCGGATTTCATTAGGCCTCTCTTCTTCCTCATATCTCTCTTTGTCTTTTCTTCGAATCAGCAGCCACACCAAGAGGAAAATCAGCAGGGCTCCAGCCACCATGCCTGTCACTGCTCCTGCAATCATGCCTATGCTTTGTACATCTGTTTTCTCAGAAACAAAAGCAGAAGGGAAACCTAACATAAGCTAGGACATACATAAATTTAAATAACATAAGCCCTGATTGGGCTAAGTACTTCCAGATCTTTATACCTACCTGACTGAATTCCCCATTTACTGTTTTTGGTGTGACTATCCCTTTGATACTGAAGGGTAGTAACATAAGCTACCCCAAAATATGCCTCTCTGACCTTAGATTTATTTGAAATTGATTATATTTGAGAAGCAGCAGACAAAAGAGGAGCTCTGAAAACAGAGTAGAACTGGACCCTTCCTGGTGGCCCAAGAGATTAAAGTACAGCCCTATGAAGCTATCCCATAGTCACTGCAGTACTAGTTTGATCCCTGGCCAGGGAGGTGACCCACATGGCTCAGCAGACCTCTCCTGACCCGCCCGCTGCTCCCCTCAGCAGTGTATTTCAGTAGATCCTCCTATTCTCCTCCCCACTCTGTCTTTGGTGAATTCTCTCACCTCCTCCCCACCCCCATACACATCTCTGGTCTATACCCCAGTTCTGTATGCATAAATGGATAAATAAATCTCTTTTTTAAAGATTTATTTATTTATGCGTACAGAGTTAGGATATAGGCCAGAGGTGCAGAGGTGGTGAGAGGTTCCATCAGACACAGAGTGGGGAGCAGAACAGGCAGAGTGATGAAGTTTGCTGAGGGGAGTAGCAGGCAGGACAGGAGAGGTCTGTTGAGCCGTGTGGGTCACCTCCTGGCCAGGGATCAAACTTGAGCTCAAGTGGCTGAGGCTAGCTTCGTAGTACTGCGCTAAAAACTCATTGAGCCACCAGGGAAGACCCAAATAAATAAATCTTTAAAAAAAAAAAAGTAGAGCTTACCCTTAGATTTAGATTTATGATGCAAATTTACATTTGGTTCCCTGCTGGATATAATAAATTTCTTTATGGGGTTGGTAAATTCACATCTGCAAATGGAGGGTCAGCTCTGTAACTGTTGAGTGGCCCTTGCAAATACTGAATTTACTTCAGTAATAGCCATGTTCTTCTGTAAATAGAGATTTTTGCCCTTGACCTTATCCTGCCTCATGACAAAAGTGTTTTACACTGAGCCACAATGCACAAACAGCATGCCTTGTGGATACTTACACTGCACAGTCACCCGCACCACACAGCTCTCCTTCCCTGCCTCGTTGCCTGCTGTGCACTGGTAGAGTCCGGAGGAGGACATGGTGAGATTCTGCAGCAGGATGCGTCCAGGGTTGCTGTAGTCTGCGCAAACAGAGAGTATGACTGCAGTCCCCTTAGGAACAGGGTCTGTCTGCCTGGCTTACTTTATTACATCATTACCCTAAGATTCTCCAATACAGCTGGGTAAGGGTGAGGTGGTAGAACAAGATCCCTTTTAGAATGTGGGAAGAAAGGTGAATAAACATTCTTTAGAATCGCAGTGCAACCTCCAAAGGGATACTAAACAAGATAATTGGACACTGAGTACATTTCTTCTTGACATCTTTTACCACTTTTACTTACCCTTGAAAGAGAAAAAAACCTGCATTTTTCTGTACCAATTTATGGATGAAAAATAAGAGTTCAAAGGATTCAGTCGTGTTTTTAACATCACACAAGTTGTTCACAAAACCAGTTGTGAAGTGCAGAACAGAATTGCTGTCCTGCTATCTCGGGGAGGGGAGGAAGATGACTTACCGATCTTAGATTTGGGAGGCAGATGTTCATCTTCTCCTTCCTTCTCTGGAATTCGCTGCCAATGATACATGATGGGCTTTGTGCCAGAAGATGACTCACACTGCAAGGTCAGGTCACTTCCCTCCGTCAGCTCTCCTTCCAGCTCACACTTGGGCTTTGATGGTTTCACTGACCAAAACAAAAAGTAATGATTCAAAGATCCTCCAAGAGCAGATTCCATGGAAGAAATGGGTTGTTTCTCTTCAGATTGAATAAATCTTTTACCTTTTACTAAAAATTTCCACTGGAGAGAAACATTGGGATTACCAGTGAAAATTTTTGAGGTTGGCCCTCCCTGGTGATGCAATGGTTAAAGCACAGCCACTGCAGCACCAGTTCGATCCCTGGCCAGGGAGGTGACCCACATGGCGCGGGTCTCACCCGCTCCTCCCCTCAACAGTGTATTTCAGTCAATCTGCCAGTTCTGCTCCCCACTGTCTTGGTGAATCCTCTCACCCCCTGCCCCACACGTCTAGCCTGTACCCCAGTTCTTGTATTCATAAATACAGTAAACCTTAAAAAATAATGATTTAAAAAAGTTTGCATTAAAAATTAGGCTTAAATAACTTGGTATACTATCTTTCCGAAGACTTTTTTTTTTTTGAGTGAGTTTATTAGAAAAGGGACAGAAAAGTAAGACACTTGCATAGACACAAGCGGACAGAAAGAGCTGCCTTACCTAAGACTTTTAAGATGACATGGCTCCACACATAGCGCCCTGAATTCTTCACCTTGCAGGTATACCGGCCCTCATCACTGGGCTTCAGAGGCTCAATCTGCAGGGAAGCATCTCCTGCCAGGAAATTGGAAGCAAAGGCCACTCGGCCCTTCTGTTCCTCTGTCAGGTTATTGTAGACATGTCGGCTGGAGTAAGTGATCACCTGTAGGGGAGACCAAGGCAGCATTAACCAGTTTGGTTCTGTCTCCTTTTCCTGTTGATGCAGTAGGGGAGCAAACCTCTGTCACCCAAAACATGTCTTTGGTTCAAGGTTTATTTCTTGGGGAGAGCTCTGAAGGCTGAGTGGAAGTTTATTTTTTAAAGATTTATTTATTTATGCACACAGAACTAGGATATAGGCCAGAGGTGCAGGGGTGGTGAGAGGATTCACCAGAGACAGAGTGGGGAGCAGAACAGACCAACTGACGAAGTACACTGCTGAGGGGAGCAGCGGGCAGAGCAGGAGAGGTCCGCTGTGGGTCACCTCAGGGGTGGGGACAGAACTCATGCTAAAGTGCCTTTAGCTACTTAGTCCTGTTCTTTAACCCACTGCTCCACCAGAGAAGGCCCAGAAGTTTTATATGTAAACGCTCTGTAAGGGAGAAGACTAATCAAATCATCTCTTTTCAATGGAGAAGGCACATGTTTTGGTGCAGTGTTTTCCCCAGCGAAAGCCCCAGGTGAATTTCGCCATTCTTGCCCCAACCTCCTTTGGCTTAACAAGGTTAGTGAAGATGGCATCAAAAATCACAAGAATGAGGGCCTCAATCATGCAGGGTCTCTCCTCTGAATACAAGAGGATATATGTTATTATTAAACTTACTTTTCCTTTAATCGATCTCTGATGCTTGCTTATTTGCTGGGCTAGAAGAACCCAGAGGGGCAAAGGATGATTTCCTTTGTGTCCCCACAATGTCAAGATAAGGAGTATAATGGGGAAAAGGGATGGGAATATAATGGGGGATATAATCAAACATGGAGCTAATTCTAAGGGTCCAAGAGACCTCCGTTCTAAATATGGTTAAAAGTATAATGTCCTGATCTTGCTTCTCTGACACGGTTGTGTCATATTTTTTTTTTTTTAAAGATTTATTTATTTGTACATACAGAACTGGGGTACAGACCAGAGGCTCAGGGGCGGTGAGAGGCTTCACCAGAGACAGAGTGGGGAGCAGAACAGGCAGATCGACGAAGTACACTGCTGAGGGGAGCAGCGGGCGGGTCAGGAGAGGTCTGCCACGCCATGTGGTCTCCTCCGGGGCAGGCGGGAATCGAACTCATGCGAAGTGGCTTTAGCTTCTCAGTGCAGTGCTTTAACCTGCTGCGCCACCAGGGAGGGCCGGTTGTGTCATATTTTAAATATAAAATAATAATTATTTTATTAAAAGCTCAGAACCATTCCATTTTATAGGTAAGGAATTTTTTTTTAGGGTACAGGCCAGAGGTGCAGAGGCAGTGGGAGGACTCACCAGAGACAGAGTGGGGAGCAGAACAGGCAGATCAACAAAGTACACTGTTGAGGGAAGCAGTGGGTGAGACAGGAGAAGTCTGCTGCACCATGTAGATCACCTCCGGGACCGGGGATTGAACTCTTATTAAGGCAGCTACGAGGTGGCTATGGCCAGCTGGCAGTACTGTGTTCTAACCGGCTGTGCCACCAGGGGGGCCGGTAAGGAATTTTTTTAAAAGATTTATTTATGCATACAAGAACTGGGGCATAGGCCAGAGTTGTGGGGGGTGAGAGGATTCACCAGAGACAGACTGGGGAGCAGAACAGAAATCTTCTGAAATATACTGCTGAACGGAGCAGTGGGTGAGACAGGAGAGGACTGCTGCACCATGTGGATTAGATCCCTGGCCAGCTGAGTTTCAAAATCGAACTCATACTGCGAGCCCAGTGATAGCTTGACAGTGCTATGTCTTTAAGTCCTGCACCCCCAGAGAGGCCCTGGGTAAGGAATTTTAATTTTGAGTTATATGCTCAAATTCACACAATTTTTGGAAAGTAGACAATGTACAACAGGGCTTCCCTGGTGGCACAGGAGTTAAAATCTCAGCACTGTCAAGCTATAGCCAGCCACTGCAGCACGAGTTTGATCCCTGGCCAGGGAGCTGGCCCACATGGCGCAGCAGACCTCTCCTGTCTTGCCTACTGGCCCCTCAGCAGTGTATGTCAATAGGTTTTCCTGTTCTGCTCCCCACTCTGTCTCTGATGAATCTTCTCACCCTTCCCTTCCCCTCCCCAAACACATCTCTGGCCTACACCCTAGTTCTTAAATAAATAAAAAGAAAATATTTAAAAATTAAATGCACTAACGATATCAAGAGTTGACAGAAAAATCTGAGGGAATAGAGTGTCAGGCTGGAGAGTAACTACCTTTCCCTTTAGTGCAAACTAACTTTTGTATTCTCTACTACTTGGCACATACGTGGCCTATGAACTATACCACGCTCTTGTGTTAGGCGCCTTTTTACATTTTGCTTATTTCTCACATGATTTTTCCAAATGGTCATTATTACCATTTCAGAGGTGGGTAGCAAAAGTAGGATTTGAACATGATCCTCCTTATTAAAAAAAAAAGAGATAGCATGTCCAAAATGGAGCCACTTGTGCTGAGCCTCCTGTCAGCAAAGAAAGATTTAACAGAACTACATTCTAGCTTATGCCAGAAATGTAACCTTTACCCTGACAATCTGGAATTATCTGATCAACACTAATAAATTAATACACCTGACAAATCTCTTTCTTCTCCCTTACTAAGGTGATCTTGCCTGAAACAATCCTCTCTTTCTATTCTCTCGGTCTCTTTTCTGTGGGAAAACCTACTATATAGTTCTTTGGAGCTTCTTTTTACTTGCTAGGTGGGATGCTGCCTGATTTATAGATCACTTAATAAAGTCAATTACAACTTTAAATTTACTCAGCTGGGTCCTCCCTGGTGGTGCAGCGGGTTAAAGCACTGCACTGCAAGCCAACAGCAGCTCCTTCAGTATGAGTTCTATCCCGGCTCTAGAGATGACCACATGGCACAGCAGACATCTCCTGACCCGCCCGCTGCTCCCCTCAGCAGTGTACTTCGTCGATCTGCCTGTTC